TATGTATATGTATATGTATATGTATATGTATATGTATATGTATATGTGTATACCTGGAATGCAACACAAAACACATTTTTTTTCCTTTGAGAAGATAATTGGGTGTTTGAGAAACAGTGGCAGAAGGTTATCCTTCTGAAATTTTTAAATGTTGAATCATGTGAATGTGTATTCTAAAACTAAAAATGAAATTTTAAAAATTAATTCATTCTGGAAATAATTAATGGAGACAGAAAAAGGTAGACTAAGGGACTCCTGCTTTTTTAATTACAAAATATTCACATGTTTTATTTTTAAAACTGTCTGTATATCACAGACACACAGACGCAAACACTGAATTGTTTGCCTTTCATTGTCTGCCTAATGAATTCTCAACAATTTTGCACAATTCTGGTAAAGCAAATTATCTGTGAAATTTTTCCTGCCAAACACCAGCTCCCTGCAGAGTTTCTCAGTTCTACCATAGGAACCATTTACTCATCACTGTTACAGCATTTTTCTTTCATATTTTATTATTTAGTTACAAGCTTGCCTCCTCCACTAGATCAAGTGGTCCTCTAAGTCAAGAACTATTCTTTGTATCTCCAGACCTTTGATGCCACATGCCTTCTAAATTCCATGCTGCTTGCCTTTTGAATTAATTGTTTCTAGTACTGAAGGGCCAGTCTATTTCCCTAAGTGGGGAAATGCTCCTAGAACACATAGGGGGGCAGAAGCAAGCTGAGAGGTGTTTGAATACAGTTAATTGAAAATGGGAGCCACTCTAGAGGTCAAAGGACAGTATAGCTAGTTTAGGATGGGTAAGGTGGGTAGGTTAACATTCTTCCTGTCATTGAGGCTATAGAAGAAACAGTACAGTTTGGAGACATAAAATCAGTGATTGTGAAAGAAAAGTGAGTTGGGGGAGAAAAGTGGTGTCTGGGTAGAGGAAAGAAGAGCGGTCTCAGGAAAATCACAAAAACATATATATTTTATACGCTTGGGAACAAAGTTGGAAAGAGATTATTATAAGTATCAAAGTTCAAAGTCAAGGATAGGGACTGTGGTCAGAATACTAGCAAAGATCATGATTTGGCAAAAGCACTGATCTTCTTGTCCCTCTTCTTAGCCCGTTACTTCTGACTGCTTGGTAAATATATATGAACTGTTACCTGACATTAGTAGGCCTTTGCCATCTGGTTTACATCCATGATTTACATAGTGTGTGTCACTTCTCTTTTCCGTGTATCCTACTTTGAATCTATACAAAAAACTACTTGCTTTATTCTGAGCATACAATCAAGGACTATGTCTTTGCACATCTTGACATTCTTTTCAGTTCACCAAGTAATTTTTGAGCACCTTCTGTGATTAGGAACGTACTGTATGCTAGAAAAAAATGACCTACAACTTACCATGTCTTAAGTACTTACTAGGTGCCATCCCAAATCCCCCTTTAAGGCATAATACAGGATGCCTCATTATATTACAAATTTAATACGTTGAAACCAATATAGTAGTCTCATTTTATTTATGACAAAACAGAGGTTCAGAAATGTTAAGTAATTTGCCAACCCCACATGACTAGAAAGTGGCTGAGATGGACTTGTATCTGTCTGTTGAATATCACACTTCTTTTGTGAATTCCTACTAATGATAATAAGTCCAATTCTAATGTGTCTTCTCAATGAGCCTTCCTGATGTCCACAACCCCCAACCAAAGATGACCATAGATGCTTCTGCCTCATTTATTATAATTTTAAGATTCTAATTTATGCTATATGTCTTTGTGTACCTGTCTTAAATTTTCTACCAGATTTTGTGTTTCTTGAAGGAAAAAAAAAAACAACTCCTGTAAGATGGGAAATATTCTTTCTCTTGTGGAAACATCTCATTGTTCAATGAGACTCTCTGAGTAATTTGATAGATTAGAAAAGGTCAATATTCTACACGTCCTTAACTGCATAACAAAGTTCTCTATTAAAATGTTAAAAAATGCCATTATTGATAGTTTTCCAAAAGTTTTATTCTTCTTAGTGATTTATATTCTGCTTCAGTTCCTTCATACCAATTATATTATAGAGTGTCAAAGAATTTCTAGCACATTCCTAATTTGGAGGCTTTATAGCAGCACTTTGAGAGCTAAAGAAAGCTTACTAGAGAAGTGAGGAAAAAAGTATTAGTCAAATAGTCACCAAAATTAAAAACACTGATAATAAAACCCAGGTGAAAGTATGTACTGTCATGACCAGTTCTCGCACTACATAAAAATAAAAATGTGAAGTAGGCAAAATGACAATAATCCTGTCAGGGCAATAGCAAGCATTTTAGAACATAAAGATGTCATACCAATCATTTAAAAAGTCTTAATTGTGTTCTTACAAAGTGTTGGAACTTCTAGCCAAATGAACAGACACAATTAAAATTTTGAAGATGTGGCATCATAAAATGTACAATGGGCATCACTTTGTAGAGCTTCAGACAGTTTTAATTATTTGTCTTTGTACAGAGTTCACAGAAGTAAATCTGCTCTATGTTTCTGTAAAAGTAATCATGTTCTGGCAATAATAGCCTGATCGAAGTATATCTTTTCTCAGAGGTACTATTCTGACTTGCAAAAATTTAAGGATTGGTTAGAGAATTTAGAGAATTTATTCTTGAACATGTTAAAGTAATTCAGGGTCAACAACACTTTTGAACTCCCCATGAGATTTCTTAAAATCGTCCTGGCTGTGTGCTTAAATACATAAAAACAAACATTCTCACCAATTAACTGGACAGTGAGGGATAAATGCAATGAGCAAGAAATTCAGTGCCACTTCCATTAGTGTTAATGAGAATTGGGTAGTTAATTCTCCAGCACTTCTCTGAATTTTCAACTTGTCTGTTAGGTCTATTCCAAAGCATTTACTTCTTCACCTATCCCTACCCCATGACAATTTTCACTTACCTCAGTAATGAAGGATTTGGCAGTAGCAGGATTCATAACAAGGATGGCTCGCCTAAGAGTGTCTCGATAGCGATTCAATTCTTCTATTCTCAAGGTGTCAAAGAGAGTGGTGATCATTTTATTGATGTTGTTTTCTACCTTCTGCAGTGCAACATCCATTCCCTGCTGAGATACTTTGTCCAAAAACTCCTGTATTCCACGGATATCTAGGAACATCAAAAGCACATCGAAATGTGAATTAGAACACAAAAGGTAGATAAAAGCTATTTCACTCAAACCAAAATGCAGTTTATTGTTCCACATTGTACACTATTTAAAACTACTAATTGAGTAGCTGATAGAGCTCTCAAATGTATTTTAGGTTTAGTACAATATAATGTGTTTATGTGAAAAATGCAGGCATTATTATTTTTAATTTTTTGTTTATTCATTTTTGAAACAGAGAAAGACAGAGAGAGCAGGGGAAGGGAAGAGAGAGGGAGAAAAAGAATTCGAAGCAGGCTCTAGGCTCTGAGCTTTCAGCACGGATCCCAATGGAGGGCTCCAACCCACAAACCGTGAGATCATGACCTGAGTCGAAGTGGGCCGCTTAACCGACTGAGCCACCCAGGCGCCCCAGGAATTATTTTTTAAATGAATTTCTTTGTCGCCACTGAGCATTTTAAATTATCTCACCTCTACCAAAATCTTAGGACTGGGTAGAGGGAAGTAGTTGAGGAAGACTGTCATTTGTCTATTTATTTTGCTCAGCATTCAAGAGTGATATTAACTTTAGATAAAATATGAATATCATTAATGGCAGATGACTCTAAATCAAAATTACTACCAGTTCTAGAAACAGGCAATAATATTACTAAGACTTGACATTGACAATCTAAAAGAAAGAGGGTTTTGAGAGGTTATCTTCTAAGTGTTACAGGTCATTTAGACCACAAATAAAGTAGCCATTCTTTTGTCATTTTATGAGTACCACTTCCTTAGCTCAAATACTGCAAACCTGGTAGGAGATAGTTCTCTTTTCTATGAGGAGTATGAGGGATGTACTTTGTCTATAAGATATATTCTAACAAAATATTCACACACCAAGTCCAAAATAAGCAAAGTTCTAAAAGATTATCAAATGAAAACTATCTCTATTTCATATTTTTTTCTCTTTTTTTTCTATTTCATATTTAAATAAAAGGATCAAATCCATTCTAAAAAAAAAGTGTTTAAAGATTGTATTTTGATGTATAGGTAAGTAACAATAAGTGTCTGAAATGCTACAAATATTTCTTCATACCACATTGGCTGTTTATAAGAGGGATCTGAACTTTACAATCTTAATATAGCAGATTTGCTTTAATGATATAATAAACTATATTTTTTCTCTATATATCTATGGCTAAGAGTGTTTTGAGGGAATAAAAAAACTGGTGAAAGACAAGAAGTAAATAGAATTGTAGGTTGCTTATTATGAATGGACTATAGTTCAGTATTCCCAATTGTACATGTTTGCATGCATGTAAATTTGTCTCTCAAGGGCAATAATTAGCTCGTGTATTTTTCATACATTAACAATTAAAACAATATGTAAGCCCACAGAATTAGAAAACAAATAGCTACAAATTTGGAAACCAATATTTGCTCATACTGAAAGTTTATATTTGCAGGGTTACAAATTAATAAAAATAACTTGCTTTCTTTTTATGATTAGTTTTATTTTAAAACAATTCTATAAATAGTATATGCTATCTAGTGAATCTAAAACTCTTAAAATAGATTACTGTATAAATTCTTCATTATATGTCTCATTCCTTGTTATATTATAAATCCAGGATATCTGAATCATAAAGCTTGACAGAACAAAGCCTCATCTAGAGCACAAGAGATGTAAAAGCAAGAATAATATATTAATAATTAATTATGTACTCATTAAGTGTCCAAGTCAGGAAGTACCTGAGGGTCTAAAATACTCAAGTATGGATTAAACAAAAGGTTAGATCTAATGAGATTTACAGATATAGGTAGACATATAATAGGACCATGTACACATTCAACAGGTGTTCTCAAACCTTGGTATGAATTAGAATGACCTCGGGAATCTTATTAAAAATACAGAAGCCTCGGACCCATCCCAGAACCAAATACCTTTACAATTTGCACCAAAGCAGATCCTTGATTTTGAATTGTAAGTAGTTGTTTCTTTATATTGAATCACTTAAATGTGCAGTTAAATGTAATACAAACCAAACAAGAAATACATTGAAATAAACAAAGATGCCCAGAAAACAGTGTGACCAAAGCTTAAGGTTCCAGATCAATTACGTTCGAGGAAATCTTCTGTTCCCAGATATAACATACTGGTGCAATTTCATATCTTAACTTTGAGGGAAAAAAAATGTTCCAAAATGCATTTACTGAATACAGATACAATGCTGTGTTCAAGGAACACAACAATTAATACCATTCCCCACAATGAAACAGACAGTAAGCAAGTAAACAAACTAATAAATACAAATCACACTAAGTTCTTGGGAAGCAACAATAAGGGTGATCGGGTAGATAATGACAGGGTGGTGAGGAGAATCGAGTTTAGTTATAATAGTCAAGGAAGGTTTCGCTGGAAAACTGGTACTTAAACTGATCTAAAACATGAGAAGCCATTACCCAAGCAAAGACGTAGGAAGAGATGACAGCATGATAAATGCCCAAGGCAGAGAAGAGTTTGTGTTTGAAGAACATAAAGGCTTCCAGTGTGGATGCACCCAAGTTAGTGAGGGGAGAACAGAGTGGGGTGCAGATGTATGGAGAGGGAGAGGCAGAGTATGTGGTTCCTGGCGAGACACAGAAAGAAGCTTTGGTTTTATTCTAAATACAGTTTTAATCTCTTAAAAGTTTAAGTAGAGGATCTAACTGGATGACAACCTATGTGTGAAAAATGAAAAGCGGTCTAAGTCTGAGAGTGACTTGTTTGATAGTATAACTCAAACGAGCTTATAAATAGTTTTCTCTTGATTTAAAACCGTATGGCATTTTTTAGCTTTTATTTTGGCCAGAAATTAAGTAATATGGCATATTGTTGTATAGCCCCAAAAGTGATGTGATACAAGATCGCTATTACAACTTTGCTTCCTTAGTCTGGAATTCCGGTTATCACTACCTAGATAATCTCTTCGTAAAATTTTCAAGTATTTTTTCTGATCTACTGTGTGTAAATTACAGTGGAGGGTCTAAAACACACCAGTTACTATTATTAACAATAATAGTACATAATCACTTATTAGGAGATCACCCTTCCCATGCGATAGAACCTAACTGTCTAAAATTTACTGTTGGCTAGTTACCCAAAATAGCAAGCATAATGTTTTAGACTCTTGAAATGCAGGAATTAAATAGTAACAGCTTTCCTTATTTAAGAATAATACCAAACACCCACGACATGTGGCAACTGGTAAGCTTAATATGAGAAGAATCTGAATCATGCTGTCTATTAGTTGCTATATGGAAGCGTTATTAAAAGAGAGAGTGGGCCTTTGGTTTTAATAATTCATGAACATAATTAACCATCACAATTGTTCAGCTGTGTGTCTATTCCTTGACAAGAAATAAAAATAAAAGTCATAGAAAGAAAGAAGACAAGACATAGTGCCTTACTTCAAGAACTTCTAGGCCTGTGGGTGTGACTAAGTGCTATTCATTAACAATAGGAAGTTAAATATAGTTTCAGTTCAGTAATTCCAGTGATTACTGATTCTACTGACCAGATAATTCTAAAACAGCAAGTGGTAGAAGGCTCATTAACTAAGTTATTAAACATAAGATTAGGGAAAAAATTGCTTTTTTTTCCCAGACACTGTAAAGGAACTTGTGCTACGTGAAATAATGACCTTCCAAAGAAGCCCAAATCCTAATCCCTGGAATCTGTGAATAAGTTATTCAGCAAAGAGGTTTAATGCTCTTGGTGGCATTAAGGTTGTTCATCCCCTGATCTTAAGATGGGGAGTATCTTGTATTATTGGGGTGGATCTGGTGATAACAGAGTCCTTAAAATTAGAAGAAAAAGGCAAAAGAGAGAGTCAAAGGGAGATCTGACTACTGAAGAATGAGTTGACCTTGGGGAAAGTTCAAAGAGATGTAACACTGTTGGCTTTGGTGAAGGGGGAAGGAGAACTTCAGCAAAGAAATGTGGATGGTCTCTAGAAGCTAGAAAAGGCATAGAAGGTTCTCCCCAAGAGCCTCCAGAAAGGGACACAGACCAGCTGATATCTTGATTTTAGCCCAATGGGCTTCCACGTCAGCCTTCCAACCTATAGAACTGTAAAATAATAATTTGTGTTGTTAAAGCCTCTAAATGTGTGGTCATCTGTTACAGCAGGAATAGAAAACTAGTAGAGAAGTATACTTGAGTCTAGTCCTTAGGTCAGCACTTTTCAAATGGTGGTCCACTTAATTTTGTAATCATCTGGAAAACTTGTTGAAAAAGAAGTTTTCTGAGCCCCACCCCACTACCATAAAATAAAAACTCTAATGACAAAGCCCAGATATTTTCTCAGCTGAACATTCTTAGGAAACCAGTTTGAGAACGAATGCTCCAATTTCTTACCCTTTCTTTCATAGGCTCCTATGAAAAAGCCATGAAGATTATGGATCCTCCTTTTCCCCATATATGTAGATACCAAAAACATTATGCATACTGCCTAGATTATGGTCTCTTAGTCTGATCTGCTTGCTCCCCTTAAAGGTAGTTATTGGAGAACCTGGATTAGCATATCGTCACTGCTCTTAATGATTTTCTTTCTATTCATGCTACACTGGAAGGTAAAGAATAGATGTTCACATGTTAACTAGTAGTGTGTATTACATTTTGTTTAAATAGAGGCAAATTTTATTTATTTATTTATTTATTTATTTATTTATTTATTTATTTATAAATGTTTATTTTCGAGAGAGAGAGAGACAGAGTGTGAGTTGGGGAGGGGCAGAGAGAGAGGGAGACACAGAGTCTGAAGCAGGCTCCAGGCTCTGAGCTGTCAGTACAGAGCTTGACGCAGCGCTTGAACCCATGAACCGTGAGATCATGACCTGAGCTGAAGTCTGGCATTTAACCGACTGAGCCACCCAGGTGCCCCTAAATAGAGGCAAATTTTAAATAAAAATATCAAGAAATATAACAGACACGAATACCCTTCCCAATAACACTGAATTGGTTTCAGTTATTAATCTA